ATAAAATAAATATTCTTCCCCTTCCCAACTCCTCCTGTTCCACTCTGGCAGGGAAGCTTATGGTCAGCACCTGGCTTGGTGGGGATGAGAAGTGCTGGCAGGAGTGGATGCAGCCCCAGGACCAGCTCGCAGGGCCAGGCTGTCACCACTGTCTCTGGCTTCTTCTAAACTAAAGCTCAGATTCGTCTCTCCAGCAAACCGTGTACAGGCCTTTGGCCTCAGGAGCCTCTCGCACTTGTTAATAAACGAGCTTTGCTGGAGACTCCCAGCAGCGCTCTGACACAGGTGGGTTTTAGTTTTCATTTAGGAAGTTCAGAGCCTTTGCTGGTTTAGCAGTAGCTGTACTGGCAAGTGACAAAGTGTATTACGATGACTCTTCTTCCTACTGTCTCCTGTTCTCGTTTGCCAGGTTTCCTGGGCTCTTTACATGTAGCTTCCCTGTGCTGTAGCATCCCATTGGAATCTGGGCCTCTCCTGTCTCTCATTGTCTTGCTCCAGGAGACACTGTGTGATCTCACTCTTGAGTGTTCCTGCTTTTCTTAGGCCTTGCCTAATTAAATACCTTCTTGCTTCCCGCAGAAAAAGTCATACAAATGCCCACATACACTATGTCTGCGGGTTAGTGCAGCATTTCCCAAGGGACAGCAGCAGCTCAAAAGACGTAGCCAGGAAATCACCTGAAGGCATCTCGGTGGTTCACCAGTGCCCCAGTTCTCCTTCTGTAAGTTGCACTCTTGGTGGCCAGGCAGCTGGAGTCTATTCTTTTCACTGCTAAAGGTTACCGGTGCAGCACTGCCTGAGTCTGTGCGTCAGAGCTGTCATTTCAAGCCATCTGCAACATGCTGCTGCTGATGATGATTTTTTTTTTTTTTTTTTAAATGTTAACTTGTTCACTCCTCAAACCGTGCAAGAAGGGAGAGAACGACCATGAAACAATTATGGAGAGCTCTGTAAGGCCTTTCGTGCCCACTTCCTTCCAGAGAGACATCATCTGAGGCAAACTCTGTAGTAAGGAAGTTGATTAATCTCACTGCAAACCCTGAACTTACAGCACTTGTACACTCGTTTATTGCTTTAGCTAATTTCCTTTGGTTTTTTTTCCCCAGCGGTGCACTGGAAGCTTATGTTCAGTCAGTAAGAACGAGAGAAGGAAAGGAGTTTGCACCAGTCTACCCAATCATGGTTCAGCTGCTGCAGAAAGCGATGTCGACTCTTCAGTGAATTTGGACAACACTCTCAAAATAGGGAACGGGCAGAAACACAGTCACAGGCCTTTGGTGCCACATATATACTTATGGTCTATGTCAGTTACTCCCAAATATACAAGGTTTACAATGAAATGTGTTTACCTGCTTCATCCATGGAACTTCTGTCTTCTTGCTTTACGTTCGTATTATAGGAACTTATATAGATACATATATCATAAGGAAATCATACAGTTTTTATGTGCTGTGAGTCTACATCTAATAAACCTGATCATTTTTTAGCATTCCTTTTGAATTTAGAGAGGTATAAAATTAGAATGTACACAAATACTGCAGTATAATTGCTGAATATCTCCAGTAAGGAAGTGGCTCTTTTCCTACAAGTATACTTTTAAATAGTTGGATACATTTTAGCCTTATTCAGAAAACTGTACTTCTGAAATGCCAGAATCACCAGTTTCCATCTAAAAAATCACTAATTTTAACCCAAGGAAAAATATTCATAAATAATGTAAATTATTTTCTATTGCAGTGCTATTCGCTTTGAAATAATTTATATTGATTTCAACTTTTTGCTTAAACTGTAATAAAGAACATGTGACTATCCAGTCTTGAACTCAGTATTTTAAATTCTTCAGCAGCTTCCTAACTGCAAAGCATCAAAACGTACTTCAGATGGGTTCATGTAAAGACTTCCACACAGAACAAGCTCTTTGCTGCAGGGCTGACTTAATGATTAGTCTTCTTCATTTTATAAAACACACAACACCAGATTTTAATGAATTTATTTGAAATAATATACAAGAATATAGTGTGCAAAAATCTTAGGGGCAACATCATGTAGACGTGTCATAAACTGAATTTTACAGTTGTGATTCTTAAAAAAAAGGAAACACACAGCTGTTTAGTACATGAAAAGCCATGATTGTAAAAGTTCACAGCAGAAGCAATTGTAATCCTAACGCAGCTGCTCTAATTTTAGACAATTGGAGGAAAAAAAAAAGTAAAGTGCAAGTGTTGCACGTATAGTTAAGTGCAAAGTTTGCCCCCACCATAAAGATGTCTTATGGCAAAATAAAATATTGTAGAATATGTGGCAAAGACAAAACACAGAGTTAAAACTATGATGGTGACGATATCAACAGCACCATTTTTACTGAGATAATGCTATTAATTTTTCATCCTGTCCTGGGCCACTGTTTCCACCGGAAGTAACAGCTCTCACTAGTGCCAGCTGGTGCAAAAATCTCTCACTTGTGGATGCAAGTTTTATACGTGGCAACCCAAGCAGCAGCTCCCGCGCGACATCACACTGCGCTCTCCCTTCACCACCTGTTCTGGTAACTTGCTGGCGTCTGGGCAGGCTGGGAAGCTGGAGGCTGATAATACATTTTGCCATTTCAGAAAATCCCAGGCCTCAGAATCGTAATTAATAATATGGTTGTGCAATACATATTAATCAGCAATAAGAATCAAGGTATATAAACAGCTGTTACATATTTTAAAATTCCCCTTTTTGTACATTTTCTTTTAAAAATAAACATTTATACATATCTCCTTCGCCTCTTTCTAAAGTACTTTAGCACCACAGGATATCAATTTTCAAGCCTACGTTACCTGATACATATATGAAGTTTGGAAGAAAATAAGGCAATTTGGTTTAAAATGTTGATAGTTTTAGCTTACTTAATGTTCTATTGTAAAAAGCAAATCTGCACTCATATTAGATCATTTCTGACTTGATGGTGCCAGTATTTTATGGTCACACAGTCACAACAAAGAGTAAGACCTTGATCTTGCATCTTCCTGCCATCAAGCAACACCCATTTTGCAAATACAGAGTTAAGAGGAAAATTCTGGCTTAATGCTGTTGTGAGCCCTGTGAAAAGAGAATAGAAAACCAGGTTAGCAGTTGCCAAGCAAAGAGGAACGAGGCATTTCTTAAATCTAGCAAACACTTGTTTGAAAGCCGCAGGTACTTGTAACCATTGGTCAGTTATGCAGAAGAAAACAAAAGACCATGAAAGCTTCTTTGTCACAGCCTAGAGTCCACCATCCTTACTTGACAAGGTAACCAAGCTGTGAACTAAATTCTTAGTTCACTGAAATAAAACAATAAAAAAAAAAATGTATTTCCTGCTGTAACCCTGAAGTAACAGGCTCTACAGCTGCGGTTATCTTGGCCTGAAGCCCTTAAGGACAGGTAGGGTAAGAAAGCCATCCTTACAAAGGCCAACCCATCACCGTTCCTCCCAGTTACACACAAACACCCCCACTGAGTTCCTTGAAGCTCAAAGGTGCCTGAGACAACAGCAGTGTAAAAACAGAATAAATAGCATTATTTTAAATAAACCCACAAGAACATCCAACAGAAGCTGTCACTGTTGATTAAAATAGACTACAGAGAACAGAAAACAGCGTGTTCCTAGCAGCTGGGATTTGGTGAAACCTTCTGCAACAAGGGACTAAAAACTCAGCACCAAGTACATACAGCAGTAAGAAGCAACTCTGTGGTGGAGCATTTCTTAACCAGTCTTAAGGCAACACTTGCATATACTCTTGAGAAAAATCAGCCCCATTTATACATGAAAGGAAAGGGGGTAATTTGAGGATGAACTCTGAAACCTGTGATGTTCACAACACACTTGATGCTCCTACCCAGGCATAAAATGGCTGATGAAAAGATCCAGCATTCAGTGCACCTCAGTGAATCTTTCCTTCCAACCTCCTGTTCTAGCTGAACACACTGGCTGGCAGAATCTCTTTTTTTTTTAATGTTCTCTTTATATGATCTATTATCTTGAAAGCCCTTAGCTTACCCAATGCATCCACCACCTACTAATGCACTGCTGCAGACTCTTTAATT